TTCATGTCATTGTATTTGTCTAGATGTGTTAAAAGAGTGTCTCGAGTATCAAGCCACTTGTACATAGCCCATGCTGCTAGACCAGAGCTCACCACTGCCACAGTCGTGGATACAACAAATGCTTTTTCCATGATGACCTGAAATAACAAAAGGAGAGGGTAAAAATTATATAATATTAATAACCCCCTGCCATTGTGGTGGCATGCCATGAGCACTATGAGTTTAGTTTATTGCCTTTACAAATAGATGGCTCTACAAGTATAAAGTCACCAATTATTCAATTATGAGTACTACTTATCTTACCTTTTACCCTTTTCCTTGATTTTCAAAAATAATTTCTGGTATCTTAAATTACTATTAGTAATGTCAGTAACAGTATAATAATCATAAATTACTGTTAGTAATGTCAGTAACTGTATAAAAATCATGTCTATGATAATAATAACAGCATCAATTTTGATAGCAATGATAAAAAAAAAAATCCCTGCAAACTCAAGGTGAGGTCACAAGGTCAGCAAATTGACTCCTTTGTGGCTACGTGCTTGTGGAACCATCTATGTGCAGAGACATTTCAAAAGACAATACTACAGTGAAGACATTTTCCCAGTGACTTGGGGTTCAGATATATGTGTAAGTTGAAAGAGGGAGAAAAAGTAAGAAATTAAGTGAATGAGAGAGAATGAGAGAGAGAGAGAGAGAGAGAGAGAGAGAGAGAGAGAGAGAGAGAGAGAGAGAGAGAGAGAGAGAGAGAGAGAGAGAGAGAGAGAGAGAGAGAGAGAGAGAGATAGAGAGATAACAAGGGCAACAGTCATTGGATTGAAGTAAATGTAAGGGGGGGAATTCTGGTAAAATGAGTGAAATAGCACACGGATGAAGCAGTGAGGGAATGGAATAATGTGAGGGAGGGAGTGGAGTAGGATAAGTGAACAAGAAAGTGAGTGAGAGGGGGAGGAATATGAAGCTATTGCATCACGTCCTAATTTGTTAGCCTTTGCTCAAGCACCAAAGGGCTGGAGATCATGTCAATCACTCACTGTAAGTGTGTTTCCCATAGAAAAGGTATGAATGAGATTTTTTTTATTTATTAAAAAGTTTCTGCTGCATCACCAACGAAGGTCATTAGTGGCATATTCAAGACTTAGTGATAGGGTGGGGCTTGGGGGTGAAGCCCTAGATAAGGAAAGGTCATACAGCACTATGATAAAGTATTGCGCCAAAAAGGTTAAAAATGAGTTAATAATTAGGACAAAATATGTCTGATGTCAAAGGCTGTACAGCACTATTGGTTAGCATGGTAGTGAAAAGGATAAAGAGGGAATAGCAAATAGAATACGAAGGGCATTCAGGACTGACACAAAGCCTTTATCCTTTCAGCATGGTTCTCATACTTTAAGATGTGGACAGAAGAGGATGAAGAGAAAGAAAAAGAAAGGGGGAGCTGGAAAGAACATGCAAAATTAGTTGAGGCAAGGGCTAAGGTCTAAGGCAGGGGTGATCCCCTTCACTGGACCTGTCTCCTAGGCCCTCCCTATGAAAAGGAGGGGTATGAATGAGAATTAATATCTTTACAAGTTATATAGATCTTCGTCAGTATTACATGATATATTCAAAACCGGTTAAATACACATATCGCTGACATGCTAGTGCTGCATTTGGTATAAGTTACCAGGAGCGACGCATAAAGATGGGGTGGAAATTGACACTGTCATCTTACAGAGCACAAGAAATATTGAAAATATCATAAGTACAGCTGCAGCGGCTTCATATTTACTATAAAATGATGAAGTAAATAATAATGACAAAATAAATGTGCTAGACATCAAAGGTCATATAGCATCTCGTGAAATGATGAATATAATCGCTGCATATCACTGCTCAGGGACTAAGTCCAGTTATTAATGTCTTTTTTTCTATAAGATGGTGCGAAGTGCTAATGAATGGGGGTATAGGGGGTTTACCCCCCTGTCTAGAGAATAAATAGAAGATAGGAATGGTTAGGTTGGATTTTTGGGTTCATATGATACCTCAAGAGGATGCATCGCTCTTGGTAACCTCACTGCTGCATACTACAACTGTGATATTGTGTAGATTATAACCATAAAAGTAGTGCTGTTTTGTTTACTCTTTGGGGCAATGACTTCACATCCAATTTCAAGTTGTTCTTAATTCAAGGTGTGCAAAGGTTTCTGGTAAATAACCACAGATTTCAACATTCTATGGATACCACATACCGCTAATTGTCATTCATATTTGTCATATGCTGAAGAAATAACGTAAAATTCGTGAAAAAAAAAAATCATTAATCCTGTTGGTGATCGGTGGTAGTTGAAAATCAGTAAACAACCAAAGTAGTTATTTAACCGGCAGTCTCATACACATAAGAGAACATTCTCTTTTTATACTGAATCCGGGTATAACAAATAAATAAGCCAGGGAAAGGAGAGGAAGCAAATGAAATGCCAACCTGGGACCTGGCTTTTTCTTATGCACGAAGCAGTCT